AGACTGGGCCGTTAAATTAGGTCCCTGGATACATGTAGTATTGTAGAACTGTCGAATGGTTATCTGCACTAGAATAGATTGGGAAACTGAGTAGAAAGTATACCATTGAATTCAATGTTGGATGAAACCAAATTAAACCAATTTTGTGAAGCTAATGCATCAACAAATGATGGGGTAGGTTTCTAAAAAAACTGCGATAATGCATCGGTGGGGGGTATAACAAGATGATTTGATTTTATCAGCTGAGTTGCTGGTGTAACTTGGCTGCCATAAAGAGTTTGTAAAGCTGATCTTTCAAGAGCTAACCTTTCGTCAATGTGACATCAGCTCGGTTGATTAAACCAAATTACCTTATAATGCATGAATGATTCGCTTTGAATTCTGGAAGACAGTGATGCCTATTTTATGCAAGATGACCGAGATAATTGTCGTCTATTTATAAGAGTGTTTGTGTTCTCTATTCTGACATCTCATTTAATCTGAGCGATCGAAAAGCTTGTCTTAAAGATTATTGCCTCTATCCTTGTAGTAAAATTGCCATCACTTTGGATGAATTCTGCTAATTTTTTTCATAAATTTATAAAATCACGGAAGTGGAAGAAAGGATCATTTCCATTTAAGCTTATGAATACGTGCCTTGCCTATGCCAAATAGTTGAAAGATCGATTTTTGCATATTATAGAGACGAAGCCAGTTCTAGTTGTCAGTTTAAGGGTAGACAATGTCATGATTGCGCTACAGCTAAAAATGTCGTGAAATCGCAGGCAAAGATAAAACGGCAATGGGAATTTAGTGGCCAGTTAGTGCACATCATGAGATTAGAAGGTTTCCTTCGACCAATCGAAATCGTTTACATTCAAGATATATAATCAAATTGTTTTTACAGTTTTTCAGTTATGATTTTGTTCTGAAATAGGGGTTGGGATTGCCGTGTCAGAAACTTTCTTTTAAATATCTAGTAAGCGAAATTTCACCCTTTACGAGGACTTTGATACAAAGTCAAGGGCGCAAACACCTTGAAATGTCTACTTGATTTCGATAGAAATTCAACTCGCGTGGCCAAGCTGTAGTGACTGCGTCAACTACGTTTATGTTGCTATCGCATATAGCTCTAAGAAGAAGGGTTTCATTTATAAGGAACGGCTCTATTTTGGAATTTATAAGTTANCTTTTTCTCCTCAGACTTGTCCAAATGGCGTAAAGCAAAGATGCCGCGAGAGGTATCATTTGGGTAAGCACGAGCATCATCACTAACGCCTGTTTGTTTGTCTCTGCTGAATAATCTGTTGTAGTGTTCGTTCTAGTTTCTTGTACACTTTTAAACTGATGCCCAAGAACCAGCAAACAAATCTTGCTGGTCACGATACAGATTAATACAACCAAGAAAATTAGAACTGCAGATATCCATTTCAAGATGCATATGAAGACGTTGAAAAATTGACCTCTCTCAAGGTTCACACTCACGACTGATTCAGCAGAATCTTTCCTTTGCACGGTGAATCTCCTCCGAGTTTCTTCGGATGGAGCCATTCTAGAAACATCGAGGTGGCTATTGCCTTGAGACATCAGAAAGAGCGTCGCTCCAGCTGTATTTTATTCGTCAAACCACGAATGCATACCGCCTTGGGGTGGACAAAATATTTTAAGTCATTGTCCCTCATGCATGAGTGCCTAAGTACGTCTTTTCTAAAACACATGCATGAACCGTAATGTTCACAGATGACCTGATAACCTGAATCGACGAAACAATGAAAGTCAATCTGCCAAAAGACAAAAGAGGAAGTATTTCCGCCATTTTTAATGCAAAAGCGTGCATAGCTTGGTCGTCAACGTTACGAGTTCATTTACAAGTTGTATCATTCAGAAATCTTTTAGCAACTCGTATATCCATCCGAAAGTGCTTTTTTTTAATCGGTCGAGGCGAACAAAGTCTAAGGTAGGTGCCCTTCGTAATCCTGGAACAATTTCTTGAAACAAAACGCCACAGTAAATTTGGAAGCTGTGTTTTGCTACCACTGTAATAAACACGTACTTGCACGTAGTAAAGAAGAAAACCAAATGTAATCCACCTTCATACGTCGAACGCCATTGCGCAGAATGTTGCAACACAATCGGGTACTTTTGTAAGTCCGCCGGCGGTAAATTTGAACGGTCTTTCGAGATAAGAGGGAGTAGCGTTAAAGAAAATGGCTATAAATCGCCTACTTGCGCCTATATTTTACTTTTTTACCCGCAAACTATTTGCCGCAGCTATTGCCCATTGGAATTGGATCGGACATATAATGAGGAAGAACAGAGAGGAACACTGCGTTACAGCATAAGAATGGGGGCCAGAAGGGAGAAGGAGACCTTGAAGACGAAAGACGAATAGCTGGGTGGCAGTCATGGACGATTGTTAGAACTTTAGCAACAAACCGAATTGGATGGAAAGAGAATTTCAAAGCCTTATGTGCCTTATGGCACAAAGAGATATAGAGAATTTGCTCAGTAGCATATGGATTATGTAGAGGAGGGGCCAATAAAATAAATTATACTATGGAATATGCTTTTGCTAGTTTAGATGTCGTCACTGAATAAGCTGATCTTCAGGTTAAATAATACGATGAAGTATTCGCAAAACTTCACAGTCAGCATATGGATAAGTTACTTCCATGTTTATGTAATGCCTAGGAAAATTTTCTCTGCTGTAGGAGGCTTAAATAAAGTATTATCGAAACCGAAGTTTTCGAATTTTTTTCGAAACCGATTCAGTTTTTAAAACAAATAGCGCACACGCCACTGCAATTAAGCATTGGAATTGAGATACTGTACAAACAATACCGACTTTGAAAGCTATAAGTTATCTGTTGTTATTTAGCGAATCCGGAAATACAACCATTGGCGAAGTTTATCACAGCAGATTAATCGGCAGAAACAACACAATCTTATAAAAAAAATTTGAATTCTGCTATGTTCAGCTCTTTTTAGAGCTCATAGAATCTCCTGTCAACCCTCGTTTTCTAAACATGTCTCAGACGTTGACAGATAGTATAAACCCACTGTTCTGACTTCGAATCAACGGAAAAGCTCTTTGGGAGTGGCGGCAACTAAAAAAGAGTTTTTTGCTCTTCAGCTAAATTGAAGAAAATCGGCGATATGTTGTCCTTGTGTTGCCTCGCTCGTGTCGATAAGCTGTACACAGATTGGAATATACCGTTAAGAGGATGAGCCAGGCCTCAAATGGCACCATTCGCCGGGCCGTGAGATCAAAGTACGGGTCTTGCCTTTCGCCACATCGGGACGAGATCCTCCAAGAACCAGATGAGGCGATCGAGGGGCTGTTATAAAAAGAGAACAAGAACTGGTTACTTTTAACCACAGACTACGTGCCGAAATTTAGGTTATTCCATCCAGCTTTGAAACACAGCGATTCATTTGTAATCAACCAGAAGTACACAGAATAGGCCTACACTCTTACCGATGTAAATCTGATCAAACGACTAAATCAAAAACACGGGTTTTATAAGTGCTGAACTAAGTTCTGAACGCAAACTTTCAAACTATTAAGAGCAAATGTGCCCAAAAATCGAACATTTTCAAAATATGGTGACAACAGCCAAAAAATCGATTCGGCTCATATTCTCAAGTTAGGTTGGTCTAAGAGTGAAGCAAACCACTGCATACTTCGTTTGGTTGAATATCGATTTATTTTCGAGAAAATCGATAACAACTGAATTCCGCCAAAATGTGGCTTTTACGGCTCTAAGTTTCAGACGCATCCCGGAGCGTCGCGTCACAAAATAAAAAAACCTGGATTTATAAAAGAACCAAATCTTGAAAAACGACATCAAAACATATGTCGATTGCAATTTGAGCAACTCGTGACCATTTATTTACACANAGATCACAGACTCCACAGAGCAAAAATAGCAATTTTCAAGCTCTTTTGGAAGTATCTCATTATCAAGAAATGTCTCTTTTTATGGACGATTTGCTTATTTCGAAATTCCCTTTATTTAATGCGAGTCGGAGCTAGTTGACTCCCTGGAAGGGTTGCTCCTCAAATCGGCGATCCTTTGCCATGGATTACGCTATATTTGAAACAGACATGAGGTAATGGGTAGCCTCGAATATCGAACATTGCTGATTTTGCTGGAAGTAAGTAGACAGACAGCTTTTGAATTATTTTTATGATAGAAGTACAGCTTAATCTCTACTGAACATGTTTCGAGTCAGAGCTAAGGAATAACCTTATTCGCATTTGTGGTATTTTGGATTTTTGTGGAAATCCCATACAATCTCTTACACGATTTCGCCGCCATTAACTTCTCAATACGCACCGCGTTCGGCATTTTGACCCAGATTTCTGGCAATGTTGACGGTTTGAAAAGAAACGTTGGAGTGCGCATTATCTTTATGCTTGTTTATCTGAGGAAGAGAGCTACTGCTTTGTTTACAGAAACTACTCCAAGGTAAAAGTTTACTGCAACCAACTCCATACGCTCTCCACACTGGCACACCTTCGTTGGTGTATGCAATATTAGTCATATTTGATGGGAGATCTGTTAGTGGAGGACATCCGGTGTTGGTACCCTCAGAGGTTGCGATACTTGGTGATGACCAAAAGGATCTCAGTCTCTGAGTAAGAGAATAAAACTGAGGATTTTCTTTGGGGTGTCCGAAATTTTCGGTTGAATAGTTCGCATTTCGGAAACTAAGAACGTTCAAAGGGAGTCCTCTGGGGCAACTTCAGTCAAACATGCATCAACAGTTTGTTGCGCCTTTCGGATGTAATGCCGGTTGGGCCGTTCGGATGCTTCTGCCTACGGTTTTTCCAAAGAATGGCGGATTGGATTAATATCCCTTGAAGTGAGAAACTCGTTCAGCTTTTCTTTTGGTGATCCACTTTTTTCCTCGGCGAAAGATGGTTCGTAAAGACTTGCTTCTGGTGAAGGTCTTAATTTTTAAGTAAAAGAGACTTCACGAGGCTCCTCAT